ACCTGCAAGCATTAAGACTTAAAACATTTTATATGCAAGTAGTGGTACATTCCAATACATATAAAGTCTTGATTATCGACGTTGTTCTGGTAGACATTAGTCTGTGTGTCTGGGATGCTATTCCAGAAATGTGCTCTAATAAATAAGGTACATATTTTGTTTTATTTACACTTGACAACTTGCAGGAAATGAAATAATACGTTTATAGCTTTCACTTCTCCTGCCAGGCCACTTGCCTCATTCACAGATTAATAATTCCCCTCAAAAGGTCAGCACTTGTCAATTGCTATTGTTCATTTACTTTTTCCCCCACGGGCGAATCCACTAATCACATCATATCCATTGGAATTCATTGAAATCGATGCAAAATTATGCCATTTTACATGCTGATGTGACCAGTCGTTAAGTGAGGCACAGGTTGGCCTGAAAGTGCAGGTTTCAACCTCCTGGACCATGATATGTGGATTAAAAATACACCACATTGATCAAGACCAGACTTAAAACCTACACTATTTATCTAAAGGTAGTTTGGTGTCCGACATCTTTGATCCGTCTGCATCTCCTCTTTTCTGACTGGTTTAGATTTAATACCAGAAATGAATGAACATTACCTTTATTCACAAAATAATTGCTCTTCTTGAAAAGCTAGCATCACCAATATTTTGTCAGTCCATATGGCAGTAATGTGCCCTTTTGTCTGGGCCATTTCAGCTGCATCGTGCTCTAACAGAGCCAGATGTTGCACCACACACCTTATATACGTTTTTAAGTGACAACTCTAACCAACCCTAGCCAACAAGTTATTGGCTACTTTACTGGACCAGATCACTGAGAAAGCAGCTGCACTCATAGCATTTATATATACTGTACACATCCGTTTGTGTTGATGGGACAACACTGCCGTTATCACCATTTTTTTCTGAAGTGGGAGTTCACGTGCAACGGTTTCGTTGTAACACTTGAGAAATGATTTGGATGAGATCCCACACACTTGAGTAAACTTCACACAGTGGCACCAAACTGTGAACATAAATTTGTGCTTTCAAACGTGTTATCAAGAGCGAGCAGACGCAGTTTCTTGCGATGTTTTCCTCATCAGTGTACACATACTGTCACTTGGAAACTCTGGCAATATTCATGAATGAGTGTGTAGCAATGAGCATTTGTATGTGAATCTTTTAGATAGCTCAAATACAGCGCAATTGTGCTCATTTTCACCCTAAAGACTGGAGAGGTTTCATGTTCTAAAAGTGGACTCTTGCAAACACACAAAAACACACAGCAGCCATTTAAAAACGTAACGATTCTACCTGCGGCTTGTCCACCAGGCATATTCCTGAGTGTCATTATTTATAGCTCTTCTGCGGGGCCATTCTCCATGCTAGAATATTCTAATAATGCTCTCCTTCCATCTATGAGGTTTCTGGGGCCCTCTGTGTTGACCGCAGCAGTTCTCAGTTTTGCTGCAGAGCATAAAGTTAAACGTATACGGCCCCTTATGGAACTGTAAAAGTAACAACAAAAACTCCCGTGTGCAATTTAAGAACACTGCAGCAGAAGATGGCTCACACTACTAATTTAAAGGCTGTGGCCATGCCGCAACCATCAGCCCCTTCCATGAGTGATTATAGATCTGACTTGGTGACCCTGAATACAAATCCACTATTGTCCCTTAACCCTCTGGTGCCTCCTTAAAGCTTGGCATGAGTGACCAGACTGTCAGGGTGAGATTCCAACCTCCGTATGGGTCCTCATTATACGTGACAGTGAAATCCTCAACTCTCTTTTCAGTTCACAACTTCCGAGTTCCTTCCTCATTTAAATGATCCCACATACACCATGTTATTACCTGCTTGTTTCCCCGCGTCCTAACTGATCGGACAAAGCTCCCCCAGATGCAGACAGGCACAAACCAAGAGCAAGTATGGCTTCAAATCAGTAGACTGAGTTGTTGTAGAAGTGCACGCCGGTGCCCTTTTCTGAGCTGACCCCTCTGACTCAGAGGGTTGAATTGCTCTCAGTAGAAAGAGCGGTGCAAATGAAATATCAATGATTGCACTTTGTCTGCCAGGTTCAGTGAGTGAAACAAGGTTTCATTACATCCTGAAGTGGAGGCAGCGCACAACGAGGCAATGAGTTGGCCTTTATATATGTTAATCAGGCCTTGTTAAGTGGCGAGTGGATCCCCTCAATCATGCCAAATAACAGAATTCACACGCGTTTATTTTTATGAGAGGCTTTTGTCGATTTTTGCAGGGTTTCAGTAATTCTCAAACAATAGCTGCGGTTTGCGTCAACAAAAATTGCATTCCTTCTTCTGGGAGTTAAATCTAAACACACAATACACACATTTTTAGATTGAGTGTAACCGACACTTTCTGAAGATGTCATTATCTTTTATGTCTGTTGCGAACAAATATCAATAAATCCACTTAGAATTCATAGAAAAAAAGGTGCTCCTTAAAGCTCCGGAACCTGCATTACGATCAGCACTTTTTTACATCCGTGGGTACATTGCAACAGGAAATGCTAATAGCTAATTCGGCACACTTTTAATCATGACAATTTGCCAAAATGTAAGAAAAATGTAAAGACAATGATGCTCCAGTTGTAGGCCACATTCCCAAAAGCATGTGGGGGGGGGGACAAAGTCTGGGATTCAGAGAGTTTAAGTTGTGTGACTCTCCTGCCAGTCTATCATTACGGATCCCCCTGCTGATCTAAGGGGTGTGCACAGTGTTGTGTGTTTTCCTGGAGCATGTCAATTATCTAACGACTGCTGTGTGTACCGTAGTGACACACTGGCACACACGGACATTAACACACACACACACACACACACACACACACACACACACACACACACACACAGATAGACAGGGGGCTATGTTCTGATCACTGCCAAGCCAAAGCATGCAACATGATAAGAACTTTTTTTTTTTTTCACATGAACACAGATGCATTACATGTGTCAACAAGAAGGCTCACCAGTTACCAGCATGGGAAAAACCCTACAGTACACACATCAATGCATTATGGTAGCTTTTTTTACATTGCATAGTTACACTTTTGTTACATGGTTGTATTCATACATGACTCTTTCAAACTTAACGTGACCACAGTGGAGAGACAAGCCCGAATGAAGTGAACATGGCTGGTGATGGATGCGATGGGGTTGTGGGGGTGCTATGTGGAGTCATGTCGCTGTGATGCGATGCGGTGATGCCACGTGAGTGAGTGATCGACAAGTTACTGACAACAATGCGGAAATACAGAAATCAACAACAACAGAATACAGCTTTTAAAAAGAGATAAGACGCGACAAGAACAACAAAAAAAAGAAAGACACAACCACAAGCTGCTTTCTGTGGAGACCCCAGAGAGTCCTGCTTTGAAGTGGTTTGCTTCAGAGGTTGGCAGTAAGGGGAGTGTGTGTGGGGGGGGAGGGGTTGTTTTGAGGAGTTACAGGGGTTGACAAGTTAGCAGAGACCTTCTGTTGTGCACTTTGTTAGCACCTTTAGCTAATGGCCCCTAAGCACAAAGCAATCACAAAACACAACAGCAACAAACCGCTTCTATCGAGCAAAGTTCAAGTTGCTGAACTACGGTCGATTCTTGTCCCTCCAGCTTTGATTTTATGAAAGTCACTCCTGTCTGGTTTTAACCACTGCCTCTCCAATCTCATGTATTTAGAGGCATGAAGTGACACTTGTGACAACAGGAGCTGTAAGAGACTTGGGTTTTGAGTCGGTCGTTTGAGAATTTATCTGATAAATAGCTTTATGAAGCAGCTCTTTAAAGTGGCAAACAAAGCCAATAATAAGAGTTCACTGCTCTGACTCCACCTCTACGTTAACCGAATGACTGATTTTAAAAAAAGCACCTCTCAAGTGTTTAAAGTAGGCCTGACACTTATTATTTCCGACACTGGGGGGGGGGGGACAATAATTTGCCATTAATACGTGTTTGCTTATCTTCTATTTTCTGCCAACTTCATACAATGCAGTAAAAGATTCCTGTGAAACTAGCAGTCCACATAAAACAAACCATTTCCGGGCAGATGACTTAATTGCTACTGATGCCAGATGAACGCCATCATTTTCAGTGAAACTCCAGAGTGCACTTTGTTTCATAAAAGCAGGAGGCAAACTATATTTTGTGCTTCCAATTCAGCTCGAAAGGAGCGAGATAATACCTTGTCAAAGGCGATTGTTATTTCTTTTTGTACTTGCTTATTTAATTCTATATTTTCCAGACTGCCCATTCAACATCAAATATCAATTATCATGCCCCCTCAAAGCTGTCGTACAAAGGCAGAGGTAGCACAAGTAGCTAACTATTAGTTGGTTCTTTTTTCATATTCCTCAGGACAGTGGATGCAAATTATCACATCAAACTAACATCCGAGATTTTGAATTGTCTGACTTTAAATACTTCTTTGGCAGTAAAAGAGACTTCTGGAATTGATGTGTGCACACGGTTGGATTTCCACTGGATGTATCGCTGCCATGTGCCAATCTGACATGAAGAGATAACAGTATAATCAAGCTTTGCTTGCTAAACTCAATGTAATATGTTTCCAATTACAAGCAAGCACTTGGCCATTGTCCAGGAAATTGGATCTCGGTGTGATTGATTTAGACATCACTATTGTGGTGATTCATCTTGACAGTCTGACTAACACTCGCAAGCACTAAAACAACCTCAAAGCCTCAACGAGACCCAAAACCCAAGAGAGTCTCGCCCGTATTGGCTCATTGTGATCATGGAGTTTGAGAAGTTCAAATTGTCCCTGAAGCATTTACAACCACTTCAACTTAGATGACACTGCTGGGGTAGTTGTGTTGCCTTAAAGTAGCTCCTGCAGCACCGCTATTAACAGGATGCATGATAAGTGGCTGCATTTCAAACTTACAAAAAAATATATTGTTCAAAGTACGGAAAGAAGTAAAAGAAAAAAAAAACATTGTGCCGATGTTAGAAGGATGCGGTGGTCTTACCTGGGGACACAGGCGGTAGAAGTCTCCCCCTCAGGGGCCTCTGGGGCAGGGCAGCAGAACTGGTGGAGCACTGTTTGGTTGCTGTGTGATGAAGAGTAGAAGCAGAATGATAGAAACTGTGAAAAGGAGGTCATCATGTTCTGAAAGTTGTTCACTTCCTGTTTCAAAAACTAGCGCAAGGCAAACGTGCTGTTATGTTCAGAGGAGCGAAAATGTGGAATGGTAAGCCATCAGACATTGTGCATTTAACAAGTAAAACTGTTTTATAAAAGAGTTTAAAATAAATACCAAATGGCACAGAACACCAGCCCCTCTCCAAATAGAACATCTTCTACGACATCATATCTGACTACATGATTTTGGATTGGGATATACAGTATACGCTGTTTTTAGTGCTACTATTATATTTGAGCTGTATAAAATTTTGATAATGCAGATCCAAATGAATAAAAAAATCTAAAAGTTGAGATCTTTCCTCTGGTTTTCCTTCTTATTTGAGTGTCATTTTCCAGGTTACATCCATCCCTTGGAATCAATTACAGCAGAAGTGTATTTCCCATTCTAGCTCATCACCTGACCATTTGCCTCCCCTTCACACGTGCTTCCCATTAGCCATCAGCCCCAGTATATATCGCCGTCAGCAGTCTCTGTTTCGCCAGATTGGCTTCTCTGCCTCATGGCTGTAGCGACCTGCTTCTCCCTGTTTTTTTGACTCTTTCTCACCAAGGAAACGTTGTATCACACTCACAGCTGCAGCATGCAATGTCTACTTCTTTCTGGGTCCATGTGTACACAATGCTGCTGCAGTGTTCATTTATAAGGACCTTGCATGAGGCCGAGTGTGTTTTGATGAGAAGCAGTGAATGTGAACACTTTCTTTAATCATAAATATCGTTGACCAACTGATTCCTCCCTTGCTGCAAAAGAATAAAATACTTCAGTTCAAAGTTTTGTCCTACAACTTCCTACAATGTTGAGGTTGTCCTCACATTTTGGCCGATTTGACAATTTGCAGGAAGTGTGGCTATAATTCAAATGTGATACTGAAATGTAGCAAGGAAAGAGCAGGGATATCAAATTTTAATGTGCATGTGAGAAAGCCATGAGTGCATTCACTTTCCTCCCTACATCCGTGTGTCCTCCCTCTCAACCTGGACGCTGCCTCGCATTCTTCACATTCTTGATTTTACGGCCTCATCCATCTCATCCTTCAGTATCATCCCTTCCCCCCCCCCCCCCCCTTCTCTCCTTTCCCTTTTTCCCCTTTTCCCACGTTTTTCCCCCCCCCCTCCACCCCCCCCCCCCCCCCCCCCCCCTCCTTTAATCCGGGTCCTACATGCACGGTGTGCTGTGCAAGAGAGCTGTTTGCTCGATTACTCTTGCCGTCAGAAGATGTAGCCAGTGAAAAGAGCAGCCGCTTTTCCATATGCCGTAGCCTCATCCCTGGACACGGGAAGGATGGAGAAGAGGGAGGTGAAACATAAAGATGAGAAAGCTAGGCCCACATTCCCAGCAGCAACCAGCCCTCCATCCCTTATCACTCCCCATGTTGCCTTTTGATCTTCCGCCCTGCAGGACATCTGCCTGCCCTCATCTCTGTCTGCTTCCCCTCCTGTCTGTCCCTTGGGAGAGGACAGAGAAAACAAGGTGACCTCTATGTCTTCCTACATACCAGCAGCGTGACTGCTGGTTCACCTCAAGCACACTAAAATCTGTTCTTTGTGCTGCAAAGTGAAATCGTTCGATACACAGAATTTGTCGGCTAGCCAGAATCTAGAAAGTTTGATACTAAAGGTCTTTTTTTGTGCTGTTCTGTAAAGGTTGGAGGTCGGGGGGGTATTTGACAGCAACAATAGAAGACAGTACAGGGAGGGTGTGACAGCAAATTAATTCCCATTGTTAATGGCTCCACTAATTGTGTTTGCCTTAACGACCATGACACCGCTGTGGCCGTTTTTAATAGGTCGAGAACACAGGCGCTCTCTGAGGGGACGCAGATTACAGCCAGCGTTGGAAACAGCAGAGCCACTTGCTCACGCAGATAGAGTGTACGTGTATATTCTGCAGGACAAGGTATGAAAACATCGAGGCTAATGGAATAATCCGTTGTGTTGCACTGATGCTGTTGTGATTTTATTTAACTGCTGTATTTCTAGGTGTAGTAACTTTGTTAACATTACTCCTTATATGCAGATAAGTACAACACATGTTTAATTGAGTACAAAATAGCCGGTACTTTTCTTGTTTACCCTCTAGGTTTTAGACCAAGATGGCCAATGTGCTGTGCCTGCTCGTCTTATCTGAACTTAAAACGAATTTATCATTTTAAAAAAGCACAAAAATGCTGCCAACTTGACTTTACACCTATTAACTCATCTATCTTATACGAGATGATGCTGCCACTTGTAGTGCATCATCTTCATGCTGCGGTTTCAAATGTGTGCAATCCCCACTTGCCTCTGATATTGTGTGCTGACCAATAAAGACCTCAGACACGCCAAAACCTGCTGAGTCATCCTTTTCTTGACAAAAAGCGTTTAAAAGAAGCAGAGCTCATTTGAATTGAATCAATAGGTATTATTGGCAGGGAGGTGCAGCGTGCAGCGGGGTTTAGATGCCTCTAATGATGAGACGGTGCACGGACATAAGTGTGGTCACATCTGAATCATTGATTTCCCCCCTATTTGAGGAAAAACACCTCACAGGAAAGTATTATGGGATGGAACTCTTTTCATCTTAACCATCCATCTCTTTCTGCTTTGATCTCTGGCTTCTCACAATTGTCTCTCCATTCTTTTTTTCTGCCATCTCTCTTCTCACCTCATATCTTTCCACTCAAAAAACAGCCTGCAAGTGTTTGATAGCACTCTCAGTTTATGAGGGGGACCTTTCTAAAAGGCACACTGCGCGACAGAGATATTACGTACACGGCCAAAACTGCATAAAAGTCAACTATCATGTCGTGTATCGTGAATCTGTTCATTTGCAAGTCGTACTGATATGAGAAGACTAGAGGCTATGATTTCCTAATTAATCTCTGTATCATTGTGACGATAATCCACCCATTCCCATGTTCGGGATTATGCAAACATTTCTTCTGCATCAACATGAATTTGTCTCCAGTAAATTTGCAAACCCCTTGCCTCCAGTTTTCAGACACACCCCCCCTTCAAACTGTTTGATCGATGGGGGCGCTGAAGATTAAATTGAACTCACACGACCTGCTTTCTGATCTTCCACACCATTGACTCAGTTTCCCTTATGGCCTAAACTCGCTAATACCACCTATTAAAAAAATCTATAAGCTTTTATAAGCTCTTCCACACACTGGGTCTGTTTGAGGGCGAGTGTAATCTGTGCACCATGGTTTCATTGTATTTTGTTTTAACTTCTCGTGTCTAATGTGTTTGTCGATGCGCTCCTCCTTGTGTTGAATTCGGCTTTACTGTGTCAATAGCTCTCCGGCTGATTCAACTTGGCTCGTGGCAGAAAAAGATCCGTGCGCACTGAAGTGATACGATTTGAAGCAGGGGACGGTGAGAGAAAAGGGGGGAGAATAGAGGGAGAGGGGATCAAAGCTCACAATAATTGACGGATTAGTTTTCACAGACCATTTCCTGGGCAGTCAGGAAAAAAGAATAGCTGTGAACATGCTCGCTCATTGAAATAACATAAATGCAGCTTTAGAGTCTGCCCCTGAAGGCCACACATGGTAAAGACACAATTGATCTCGGAGGAGGCAACCATATTAACAAAAGTGGTTCGGCTAAAGCGTTTAAGGTCGCATGGCTGCTTGCTTTTGTTGCCATTATTTCACTTCCATGTTTGGTTTTTATGCAACATTTTGGAATAAATGCATTTTTGAGTCAAGGTCAAAGTCAAGTCAAGAGTTTAGTAGTGAAAGAAAAACATTTAAATATAATATAATAGTAAGGTGAGTTAAATAGAAATCCTTCGTTTGAAATTAGCTTTAAACCAACAAACTGCCAGGTCAGCGTATGAAAAGAGAACAAGGTACTTTAGCTTAATTTAAGTCGGTTAATATATCACATACCTTCCACAAGTCAACTCATCTCATGGCAGTATTAGAAGCACTGTGATCATGTTAAATCAAAAACAATGACACCAGCATTTTTTTTGTAATACTTCACTGCCATTTGGCTGTAAGTGCCGGTTTATCACTATGTTTTACAGGCTAGAAGTGTGTACGGTTTTCTGAGGAAATAAATCCATGGCGGCGTGCGCATTTCTACGTGAGGTTAAAATGATGTATTAAACATTATTGTGTGGTGGATTATCAGCCGAAAAATATCCTTGAACTAAATCAGGCGTCTCTTGTATGAGCACTGCACCAATCTTACACACACACACACACACACACACACACATACACTCCTCGAAATTCGGTCCTGAAAGCCTACCGTATCAATTCCTTTACACACACGCACAGTGAGTTAAGAAAAGCTCCCTTGAAAGGTTTACGTCAGCACGGACTCTTGGGCCGTCCCAAGCGGCTTAGCTCGGCCTCTGCAAGCGAAACCGAGAGAGCTGGAGATGGACGAGAGAGCGGGACCAGCTTTCCCAAGAGGAAGCTAACAAAAGAGGAAGAAAAAAGAACTTCGTCCTTGTATTCAATCCCTTAAAAATCTCCTGACGGTGCCGGAGTCAGGAAAGCTGCAACATTTGAGCTTTATTCCCACTATCTCTGTCTCATTGTGGCCTATACTTCACTCCACTGCAGCACTTGACAGGAAATATGAAACCATTTCACCGTCAAGCTCTGCATTTATGCTGCATCATTTCTGTCTGAACAAGACGAGCCTGAGATTGTGAAATGTAACACACTGTTACACAGAACCACCTGAGAAGTCGTCATTGGAAACTGTTTGGAAACGGGTAGGCACTCTCGAAAAAAATGCTTGGCAGTTGATTAGATGAACCATCTGTCAATCAAACTTCTTGCCGATCGAGAGATGGTTTTTCTGTGAGTGAAGAAATACTCTCCAGGTCTGATATAACTGATGCTATTCCAGCATCAGCGCTAACCTCTGTAGGAGACACCATCGACGTCACACACAGAC